AGTAGTGACTCAATGAACAAAAATCTTTGGTATTTGCTATCACTCTTGATTTTAACATTTCTCTATTTATCTTTTTTGGTTTCCTTATAGTGCTATAGTTTTGTACAAGAATACCATGAACACACCTATGTTGAAGAAGAAAGTGTCCTGGGAGAACATGGCGGTATTATATGATTCTTATTATTTGGTATGTATTGCATGTTGAATGAGAACTGTTGTATAACGTACTTTATATTTATGTTTTTTAGGGCATCCCGATGCAAAAAGGGAGTGTAGACTGTGGCTTGTTTGTAATGCGATACATGAAAGAGATCTGTCAGGATAAGGAGGTTCAATTTGCTTCAAAGGTAATATTGCTGTCTTAAATGTAGTTTTTCTTGTTTCGGATGGTTCACACTTATTGTGTCTTTCTCTTATTCTGGGGATATTTATTGTATTGCATGTTATCATACCATTACCGAATTGCAAAGTTTGAATTGCATGTCGCTTTTATGTGTTCTCTATTTGTTAGAATAAGTGACCAACGCTAGAGGGGGGGTGAATAGCGTTTGATCGTAGAAATCGCAGGAAAAAAAAATTAAGAACGTGAAACGTAAAGAGCGTAGAAAGCGTAAAGGGAGCACACCAAGATTTATACTGGTTCACAACCAATATGGCTTTATGTGGCCAAGTTCTCCACAACCAAAGCACGTTGGAATGTGTTCCCCCTTTCTTTTACAATCTCGGGACCTATGTTCTTCCTTCAAAAACTCTTGGAACTTCTCGAGCAAGTTATAAGAAGGATTATCGTCATCGCTATCGGAGTCACTTACCTCTACCCTTTTTGAGGATGAGGCTTTGAGAGCGAGACCGGGACTCTCGTGAAGAGAAGGTTTAAGAACGGTAGATTCATAAGTTTTAAGATTACCTCGAAGAGCATCGATGGTGACATTGGTGTTACCAATTGACTCATATATGGCATCAGCTTTTGAACGCCATTCTGATGTTAAGCTCCGAAGGATTTTTCGAACAAGATCTTTATTCGAGTATGTTTTACCAAGGACATGGAGATCATTGATGATCTTTAAAAATCGGTCGAACATTTGATCAACGCTTTCAATTTCCTTCATTTTAAACAACTCATATTCATGGGTTAGAAAATCAATTTTAGCTTCACGGACT